ATCTTCTTTTGATGCTTTCTGCATCAGTCAGTAATTTTCCCAGAGAATCCTTCAATAACAAAAGTCAAGACTTGAGTTGTTTCTTCAGTTCCCTCAACTTGAGGATTTTGAGTGTGTTCTTCCCTTTTGGTTTTCTGACTCCAGATCTTTGCACATTTTGTTGTAATATTTGACTTTGTCTTCCTGAGCTGACCTTTGTAATATTCTGTTCAGTTCTTGTACCTCCTCATTTCTTTTAGCATTTCTACGCTGGAAAGCAAGTTTCAGTGTCTCTTCTGACATCTATTTTGATCTTTTCCTTCTTTCTTGACTTCTTAATGACTTTTTGCTTTCTTCCTGTATGATGTTCTTGATGTCATCCCATAACTCTTCTGGTCTTTGGTTTTAGTGTTTAATGTATCAAATCTGTTCTTCAGATAATCTCTAAATTCAGGTGGGATATATTCAAGGTCATATTTTGGCTCTCGTGGACTTACTTTCATTTTCTTCAGCTTCAGTTTGAATTTGCATATGAGCAATTGATGATCTGTTTCACAATCTGCCCCTGTTCTTCTTTTGGCTGATGATAATGGAGCTTTTTCACTGTCTCTTTCCACAGATGTAGTCAGTTTGATTTCTGTGTATTCCATCTGGTGAGGTCCATTTATATAATTGTCTCTTATGCTGTCTAAAGAAGGTATTTAAAATGAACAAATCATTGATTTTGCCGAATTCTATCATGCTGTCTCCTGCATCATTTCTATCACCAAGGCCATATTTTCCAACTACTAATCCTTCCTCTTTGTTTCCAATGATTATCAATACAGTGATTATTATCAATACATCTTGATTGCATGTTTGATCAATTTCAGATTGAAGAAGTTGGTAGAATTCTTCAATTCAATACATCTTGATTGCATGTTTGATCAATTTCAGATTGAAGAAGTTGGTAGAATTCTGTGATTATCAATACATCTTGATTGCATGTTTGATCAATTTCAGATTGAAGAAGTTGGTAGAATTCTTCAATTCATCCTTGCTGACTTTAGTGGTTGTTGTGTACATTTGAGTAATAGTAGTATTAACTGGTTTTCCCTGTAGGCACATGGATATTATCCTACCACAGACAGTGTTGTACTTCATGATTGATCTTGGTATGTTTTGTTTTTTTTTATGATGAATGCAACACTATTCCTCTTCAATTTGTCAATCCTGGCATAGTAAATTATCAAGATGGCCAATAGCAGTCCGTTTCAGCTTACTAATGCCTAAGATATTGATTTTTATGCATTCCCTTTCATTTTTGACAATATCCAATTTTCCTAGATTCATACTTCGTACATTCCATGTTCAAATGGTATATTTGTATTCTTATCTGAAGAAGATTTAGGATTAAAACTTTAAAAACCAAGTCTTACTTTCTTTAATGAAAGCATTTCTATCTGTGATTCATATAATTTGTGGAAAGGTTTATAGTTGAAATATTCAAGAATTATCGCTATATTTAACCTCATGTATTTAAAATTGTGCTCTTGAGGAATCTGTTCTTGGACCAAGATGCAGTTGTTCGAACAGAACATGGGAACACTGAATGTTTTAAAATTAAGAAAGGTGTGTGACAAGGTTGTATTTTTTCACAATACTTATTCAACCTGTATGCTGAGCAAATAATCTGAGAAGCTGGGTTATATGAAGAAAAACGTGCCATCATGATTGGAGGAAGACTCATTAACAAACTGTGATATGCAGATGATACAACCTTGCTTGCTGAAAATGAAAAGGACTTAAAACATTTACTGAGAAGATCAAAGAGCACAGCATCTCAATGTAAAGAAAACAAAAAATCCTTACCACTGGACTAATAAATGACATTCTTATCAATGGAGAAAAGAATGAAGTTGTCAAGGACTTCATTCTTCCTGGATCAACTATCAACACTCATGGATGCAGCAGTCAAGAAATCGAATGACATATTGCGTTAGGCAAATCTGCTGCAAAAGACCCTTTTAAAGTGTTGAAGAGCAAAGATGTCAGCTTGATGATTAAGGTGCACCTGACCCAAGCCAGGGTATTTTCAATAATCTCATATGCATGCAAAAGCTGGACAGTGAATAAGGAAGACCATAGAAGAATTGATGCATTTGAGTTATAGCGTTGGAGGAGAATATTGAAAGTGCCATGGCTGCCAAAAGAACCAATAGATCCTTTTGGAAGAAGTGCAGCCAGAGTGCTCCTTGGAGGCCAGGATGGCCAAACTTCGTCTCTCCTACTTTGGAGATATTGTCAGGAGGGACCAGTCGCTGGAGAAGGATATCATGTTTGGTAAGGTGGAGGGTCAGAGAAAAAGAGGAAGACCCCCAACGAGATGGCTTGGCCAAGTAGCAGCATCCATGGACTCAAGTGTGGCAACAGCAGTGAGTTTGGCCCCGGATCAGGCAGTGTTTCATTCTGCTGTGTATAAGGTCACTATGAGTCGGTACCCACTTGATGGCACCTAACAACATTTATCATCTTAATTCTTACTCTTGTTTTAATTCCTTCTTTCCTAATGTAAAGATTCTTTTTGAAAATATTTCAAATATTGAACTTTTGATGTTCTGTTTTAAAATTCAATATTCAATGTAGTTTTCAATACCACATTTAAACCTCAGTTTAGAAATATGTTCTCTATTTGTTGTGACAAATGATACATCTTTCATTATGAACTTTGGAGTCTTCCATCAATTTTTAAGAGGGACAGATATCTGAAGTCTGTTCATGAACATTATGAATAATTTTTGGAAAAGTACAAATGTAATAGTTTTTTTTTTTTTTGTTGTTGTTAGCTGTTATGAAATTGCAAAAGTACACCTTATATGATAATGCTATGTGCACCAAACGTTTTCATCTACTGGATCCTGCTGATAGATAATGTGTTCCTTTTCTTTGTCTTGAAAGGAAGTAAGGACTCACATTCAACATAGACTTTTTAGGTTTGATAAGCAAAGTATGGCTGGATGCTGAAAAGAGACAAGCTGGAACTTAGAAAGATATGGGAGTGACCATTGGAAGGTTTTACTTTATTTGGTTATTGCCAAATAGTCTAGCATTTACAAATAATTAAAGTTGAGATTACGGTTTATTGCAGAAGGGAAGTAAAAGTATTCGTGTAATCGCATGTTTCTTAATAAGAACGTACCTATAGAAGGAGCGCCTCACTAGGATCAGCTTTTGTAAATTTTAAAAGTAGTAATTTTTCTGTTCCAGATTACAGCATGAACAACAGGTAAATTGCCTCTTATAGATCACTGTGGGTTCTAGGGCTCAGGTTTGAATTCATTTCAGTCTGTTGTTAATTGCAACAGAGTAGGTTGTGGCTCATAGTGACCTTGTATAGGGTTTTCGAGGCTGTAAATCTTTATGGGAGCAATAAACCTCATTTTTCTTCCGCTGCACAGCTGGTAGTTTCGAACTATTGACCCTGAGGTTCGTAACTAGTATGCCACCAGAGCTCCTTATATTCATCCTTAGAAAAAAACAATTATTTTTGTTGTGGTGGTGGTGGTGACCCTCTGGAGTGAATGCTGAGGATTTGATGAGTGTAGTGAGACTGTTAAGTATCAGACAATCTTGAGTTCAGAACACCACTCAACAGTCTCTGATGTCCCCCTCGCCATTTGACTATCATCGAGGTCTAATCAAACCAAGGAAACAATTTCTCATTTCCAGATACTAGGTCCAGGAAACAAAGAGGTCTCCAAGAGAAAAATAAGTCTTCCACTCTCATTCCTCTTCTGTGTCTCAAAGACTGAAGATATTAATGTCATACCCTCTCCCACTCCGTGCTCTATGGGGCAGCTCCTTTTTAGGAAAGGTTGCCAAAGTCAAGTCAACATTTTATTAGGAAGGTATTAGGAGGAAAATCTTTGGAAGCAGCAGAGGTGTGGGAGGCTGGGAGTTGGGGGACCTCCTTGCACACACCTCCCCCAGCGTCCAGACCTTCCACACCCTCTTTCTGAATCTCAAAAAAACGCCCACAACGGCCAAGCCTCAGGGTCTAACTGGGCCCAGGGAAAAGCAGGCCAGTCAGCTCCTTGTTCCTTTAGCGGGCACCAGGCCAGGACTGGTGGAGGTGGGGGTGGACGAGGAGGGGCGCTCACGTCACGTGAGCGCACAGGGACTTCAATAAATGCCGGGAGCGCCAGGGAGCCGCGGGAGCGCTCAGCGCCTGACTCTACGCGCAGCCGTTCCACTAAGCCCGAGTGCAAAATCGTCGCTAGTCTTCGCTTGGGAGTCCTGCCGGTCTTTCAGCTCCCTTGCTCCTGCAGATAAAGCTCAGAGGCGCCCAGGCGCCCACTCTGGCAAGCTAAATAAACAGCTTCTTTTCCACACCAACTTCAGGTTCTAACTTGGCAGACACTTCTTCCAGGTTTGCAGAGGCGAGGAGTCAGAAGCTCTCATCCCCGTGCAGTTAGCGCTCTCATCTCCCCAGGACGCCTGGTGCGGTGCCGGATCCTTTCGGAAAGGGGCTCCCCAGTTTTCAGTCTTGTGTGAGAGGCTGGGGGCCGGTTACAGGAGGCCAGCGTCTTGTTGGGCCCAGTGCTCCTAGGAACTTCACACTGGAGAGGTAAGGGCATTTCTAAAACGCACTGCTGAATAGTCAAACTCCCAACTTTGCTTGCCTACCTTTTTCTTTTTAATCCTTCCTTTCAAAAAAGCCAGTTTGTGGAGAAACGTCAGGCACAGAGTGTGGGTGTGCAGATTCTAGGGCAGGGCGTTTGCTTTTGTAAGTGTTCCTGTGCGTTTCAACTTTTCTCTCCTGTGGTGCTCTTTTCATCCTGATTAAGGAATAGTATGCCCATGTGGTTTATGGCTCTCTCGAATCTGAACCACAGGCTAAACACAAACTTTCCAGGAAATAATGAGCGCTTTCTTCAGCTGCGCAAGAGGAGATTTTCCGATTTTCCCTGTGTTCCAACCATTCATTCCCAATGGTTCACTGAGTCCTCTATATATTCAGATGGATACATATTCAAATGGTATAGTGTCCTTAAAGCATTTACCCTGGGTGGTTACACAACATGTAATAGATATCACGAATTGTTGAAAAACCTTGAATTGGCAGTTGTTGTGTTTTATATGTTTTTACAGTGTGTGTGTGTGGGGAAATCACCCTCAATTTCAGAATGTTGTTATTGTTGTCCCAGAGATGGGGCACTGCAATAAAATGAGGCCTTAAAACATAGATTTATAGATTGACATAAGGCATCCTAGGTGTATAATACCAACATATATAATATCGGAGTCCTGGCGTGGAACTGTAGGATAAATTCTGGATTGCAAGGTCGGTTTGAAACATAAGGTCCTTGAAACTCACCAGTGGATTCTCAGAAACCCTAAAGAGGGTTTCTATGAGTTGGAATCGTCTTGACCAACTCGATGGCATTTAACAACAACAAATATAATAGTATATAGCCATTTAAAGTCTTACACATATAGTTCATTTTCAAGCTTTGACTTCCGGACAACATCAGTTTTTCCTTTTTGACCTCATGTGTATTATCTTGCAAAAATAGTTTGTTTCATAAAAACAATTCTTTGTGGAAAGATATCTGGTAGAAACAATGTGATTAGAGAGAAGTTAATTAAAAAAAAAAGTGGGTTTGCATTTTCTGACATTTCAGAGACAAAACTGGCACACTCACATTCTAATTATTTCATTTTTATCCTAAGAAAATTAATATCTGCCGATATTTTCATCTTAATCACATTACATGTTGTTATAGCCAAAAGACGTGGAAGAGCCTGTCTTGGAGATTATCCTGGGGAAATCCTGAGGGCATTCATTATGAAGTGTACCGCCCAGGAGTGGCTCAGAATAACCACAGTGATATTCATGGCTAGAGCAATTCCAGCTACAGTGGTTCCTAATGCCACATTATTGGAGAAATTGTTGGAAAAGTACATGGATGAGGATGGTGAGTGGTGGACGGCCAAGCAAAGAGGGAAGAGGGCCATCACGGACAATGACATGCAGAGTATCTTGGACCTTCATAATAAATTACGAAGTCAGGTGTATCCAACTGCTTCTAATATGGAATACATGGTAAGGAAATATTTCAAGTGGTATGTACAAAATCTTTATTGCTTTCAGTCACCACAGTTAAATTCCCTCATGCTATTCTTTAGTTGTCCTATATACAATATTTTTTTTTTTCCTTTGTGGAAACAGATCTTTTGCATTTTCTTTTTATTAATGTATCAGTCATTTCTAAAGCCTACTTGGATTTCTTTTAGTAGAATTCCTACTGTTGTTGTTGTCATCAAATGCCGTTGTTTTGGTTCCGAATCACAGCAACCTTGTATAGGGTTTCCAAGACTTTAAATCTTTGTGGGAGCAGACAGCTTCATCTTTCACTCGAAGAGGGGCTTGCAGGCTCAAACTTTATGGTTGGTAGTCCAATGTTTATGGGATGGACCACTGTACTCCCAAATCATTCCTACTAAGTATTCTAAATTCTACTCTTACCTGAGAGATTCCTGAAACTGGAAAGAACTGGAAAGACTGAATGAATAGTCAATGTATTTGCTTTTAAGTGATTTCAAAAAACAATTGCTTTCTAATTCTTAACTGATAGAGACTTCATTTGAATAACGTGTGAAAAATTGAGGGAATTTGATGATGCTTTCTGGAATGCTGTTCTAATAATGGCTTTTGTTTCTTACAGATCTATAAGTGATATATTGTTGAGTAAATTTCTGTGGTTGATTTAAGGAATGTTTGAGTGAAAGATTATTTTCTAATTTATTATTTGTGATCTTTGAAATAGGAAAATAAGCAAAGGCTTTGTGATGACTTTATCTTCACTGTCAGTGTCAATTAGCAATTTTATAAACAATTATTTCTCTGAGACCATTAGCATAATTTATAACTTAATACTCAGTACCCTGATTTAGAAGATTTGAAACACCCCATTACATTAGTTCTATGAATTGGGACTGCACTAGCAAAGACAGATCATCATTGCTGGTGAAAGCAAAGCCTATTTAATGAACATTAGGAGTAATATTTCTTCTTTGGATACATTGCGGGATGCAGTGAATCATAATATGGTCTTATTTTTTCTTTTTTCTGTGTTTATGTTAGTTGTGACATGGTATTACTCATACTAATAGGGTGGTTACATTAGGCTCTGTTTATGTAACTTTCATGAAACTTGGAAGTTCTAAAGTTCACATCACCTATTATAAAATATTGCATGCTATTAGTTTAGCTTTTACTAGGAAATACTTTCAATAAAGTAGCAAATAATCAAGAGAATGCATCAGAGATTAAGAATTGGGGTCTGGGAATCAGGCTGTCTACATTAATTTCTATCACAAACATGCCAATTTAGTAATTCTTCACTACTTCAGTTTTCTCATGTCTAAAAGTGTACTTACTGTAAAGAGTTTTGAAGATTAAATGAGATTATGTGTGCTCATTATCAGGCATATTATATAACCTCAGTAAATGTTACTAAGACACAGAACTAACATTAATGTATCCTTATACTGGCATAATTAATTGTTTAAAGAAATTGATAGCTCTTTCCGCTCTTTAAAAAAAAAAAATCTGTGTAGTATATGACCTCTCAATGTCTTACCTTTTTGCTTTTTGCATATTTTTAAATGGTTATCTAAAGTAAAAACAAAAAAACAAAAAAACAAAAACTCTAGCATCTTCCTCTGTGAGCCTTCAAACAGAAATAAACAATTATGGAACATTTCCAGTTGATCCACTGTATGTGTATTGTATGTCTATAGGTATTCAGTTGTTTTGTATTTTAAAATCAAGAAGAACTTAGGAGTTGCAATCCATAAAAAAAGAAATTTGAGAATATATGTGTATTTCATAAATTATATAGGAATAATGAAAGAACAGTTCTGGGGTTCATTTTCATCTCTGACTTCCAAAAATAATAACTGCTATTGTATGATGTCTGGCCTGGGGTGTTTATATGAATTTCTTTTGGTTTCACTGGTTTCCTTCTATCCTTGAAATGTAGATTTAGAAAAAAGTCAGGCTTTACATTTTGTTGGCCTTAGATACGATTACCACTGGAACTGTGGATTGGACATTAACTATGCTATAGAGCAGTTCATTGCCCAACTATAATATTCACACACATATTTTTAGAATGCATGTTTAAGAGAAAGTTGAAAAGAACAATAATTCTTTTGAAATTCTGTTCATTTATGTTACATATAACAGGATAACTACAGATGCTAATCAAACTTGTAAAACTCACTTCCTTCAAATAGTTAAAGTACATTTATTCTGAGAAAGGGAGTGCAGTGGCTCCATACAATAAGCACTGGACTGCAAACCACAAGGTCCACAGTTCGAGCCCACCAGCCTCTGGTTGGGAAAGACATGAGGCTTTCTGCTCCCACAAAGACTTAAATGCCTCAGAAACTCTATGCATGGTTGCCATGAGTCAGAACTGACTCTAAGGTGGTCAATAATTCTTAGAAAGCACAATTTCAATTTGGCTAAAGAGTTCATTCCTGTAAAATCTGCTAGTTTGGGCCACTTAGATGCCATAATATATTAAATTTTTGAATTGTCAGTTACTTTATTTGACATTTGGGGTTTATTTTAGTACACTCTTTTTCTTGAGCATCTAACAGTCAGTCACACCCACATATATCAACATCGCATCTCTACATATCTTTATTTAGTTCATAAGGTTAAAAATAGACTCTGGAAGGCCACATCTTTTTTTTTTTTTTAAAGGAATTATTGGCTGATAGAGAAAAATGAACAGACACTTCTGAAGTTTTAAATAAGCAAGGATACATAATTTTTATTCTCATCTATAAATGATGCCTAAGAAGCACAGAATGATATAATATTCCTAATTATGAGAGGTAATCAATGGATGGTCTTAGGAAAGATGAGGTAGAAGTTGCTCCCTGAAGGCCATTGGGACTGAAAAATGTGGGGAAAGTAGAAAGCGTATTGTGATGAGGGAGAAACTGGCAAGCTGATTGTTGGGAACTAGAAGTGATGGCACAATCAGGAAGAGGAAAAATTAATTATTAATTACATGAAACCAGTAATTCTGAGGCAGGAGATGATTTGAATTTTCATTTAGGGTAAATTGAGAAACTGGAGCTTTTAGGTTCCTAATGAGTAAAATGAATATTTGAGGGTAAAATACTGACTTTGGACTCAGATAGCAGCAGGTTCACATTTTATCTTTACCACTTACTGTTATTTGCACTCTGACAGCAAGCAGTGTAGTCAACTGATATTTTCATTTGTAAAAATAGGTCTAAGAATTTAAAGAACATAGTTTTCACGAGAACAGACATTTGATATTGCTGAATGTAATCTCTTTCTTCAAATTTTAATTTCCATGGGTTTTAGGACTGCATTGCTCAGCTCTTTTTTCTTTTTTCCCAGTGGTTTCATCAGCCTGTCCTTGTTTTCTGCTAAATTCTTGAAAGTTTATTTCCCAGGTTTGGCTTTGATCATGACCCTTCTATAGGATCTGTGTACTCCTTTGACTTTACATACTATCTGCATTATGATGCCTTCTTAGTCTAGATCTCTAGCCAAGAACCCTCTGTCTGGAGCTTCATTTTCATATTTCCTAGTATAGTGCTGCAGGATAAGCATTGGACAGAAAGGTCAATGTGAACCAGAAGGTTGGCTGTACAAACTCATCAGCTGCTCCTTGAACACCCTATATGGGGTCACTATGAGATTGGTCATCTCCATGTAATATTACTCCACAGTCAGTTCAGGCTTCTTGTGTCTAAAAAAAAAAAAAAACAATTGTCTTGCCCATTTCCTCCACATCCCCTGCCAACCTTCTTCCCTTTCTGGATTCTCTTGTCAGTTAATGTCATCAGCATCTAGTCAGTCTTCTCTGAGCTAAAAAAAAAAAAAAAAAAAAAGGAGACTTCTTAAATGTTCTCCAGGGAAAGGGCTTTAGGTGGAACTTTCAGCTACTAAATGAATAGTTGGTGGTGTGAATCTAACCACAGCTTGAAAGAAAGACCTGGTGATTTGCTTCCAAAGATTGCACAGCTTTGAAAACCCCATAGTTTTCTATTCTAAAATACCTGGGGACACTATGAGTTAGAATCAGCTGTGTGATAACTGGTTTTCAATTACACCCTAAACTCTGATTTCTCATCTTTCCCCCATATCCATGTAACACACACACACAAACACAAATATACAATTACTTGCCAAATTTTGTCAATTCTGTCACAAAAATTCATCTCTTAAATCCACCTTTTCTATTTCATCCTTACTCTTTCTTACTGTGTTCATTATTTCCTACCAATATTAGTACAAAATCCTCCCACGCAGCACACTATACAAATTGGCCTCTACTTTTTTTTCTGCTTTAGTCCATCTTCCTCAAAAACTGTCTTCTTTACCCAGTTCCGACTCATAGCGACTCTGCATAGGGTTTTTGAGGAGCAGCTTGCGAGCTTGAACTGCCCACTTCCTGGTTCAAATGGACCACATTAATCTACAGTGCCAGGACTCCTCTAGAAACAAGTTACAGACCATCTTGAGTACCAGGACTCCTCTAGAAACAAGTTACAGACCATCTTGAGTACCAGGACTCCTCTAGAAACAAGTTACAGACCATCTTGAGTAGCTTATATACTGAGGCATAGCTTTTGTCCACCCACCATGCCTCTTTTAACTTCATTGAACATGTTTGAATCTGCTCACACCAAACCACTAAAAGATCACTGTTATTCCTCATACCTCTTTGTCAGGAATGCCTGTCATTCTGCCTGTCTCCTCCTAATAAGTACATACTCATTTCTCAAGGAGAAACTCAAATGTGGCTTGAATGAGCTCAAGTGTTTTCAGATGTTCATTCCCATGTCTCTCTCCTTCTATGCTTCTAAAGTGTTGTATTCAAGACAATGTATGAGAATAAAGTTTTGTTGCAATTAAAGGTCTCTTAAAAGAGTTAGGTAGAAGAAAAAGTAATAGTGTTTGAGATAAACAATGGAGAACAGACAAGACAGGAAATAAAATGATAGGAATATAGAAGATAGGATATGTATCACAAACGGAAGTGAGGT